TGTCAAGAATGACACATGTAATCTCTTCCTTGCTGGCTTCCGTGACTCGTCTTAAGTGGATGTATTACAAACAATGACTGGTACTGGACCACTTTCATCATTGGTACAACAGGAAATGCCTTGGCTGTGGGATCGGGCAATTACACACTTTAAATATCTTTTGATGTGGATTCTATGATTTTAGGAAAGTAGAGAATAATATTGAAGATGATCGTTGGAATACACCTTGATTCAAATGGCCGCCAAGAGGCCACTATTAGGTTTTGGGGTCCTGATTATTGTGACAACTCCTTATAAGCAATTTGGATATTTCCTCATGAACATGAATACGGTTACTTCCCCATAATTTTTGTGAACATTCATGTGAGAATTAACTAAATGTGGCCCACTGTCATGTAAATAAAACCTAATTTTGAATTTTATGTGAGAATGACAGAAAACAATCCCACAATACAATGCAGTGTCAGTGTTTGGTAGGCGTATCACTTGCAGCCATGACCATGTCCTTGGCAACAAGTTCAAGACATGATACTAGCAGAGCTATATCAGCTGACAGACTTCTTCTTTAATAGGCAAATTTTTAATATTTACTTCACCAAACGTGTACTTGTGTTGCCCTCTGTGCATGGGTTTGACCTGCTTATAGTTAACTTATGTACCTGTATACATATTAAATAATACGACAAATTCTCAAGACAAAGCTTATTTTCTAAACATTATTTTTCATTAATTAGGAATCCCTACACTAATTAAATTAATTCAACACTTCGGCTTTACGCTTATTGTTGATCTAAAATGTGACTAAATTTGAAACATCAAAATTGTTTACACGGATGCATCATGGGAAACTGTAGATATCACAGATTTACTGTAAAAATGCAGAAACGTGAAACGTCCGAAAAAATAAAATTCCGTTGGTGCTTCTTGTATTTGGCGGGACGAGAGATTACGGTACTCGGGCCAGCTGGGCAATCACGGTGATAACCAATGCTGGAAAACTGGATTATTTGATTTCACTCATGTTGCTGTCAAATACGGATTGGATAGAGAGTAATTTATGAGAGCATTTCTATTTTGAACACTGCTGATCAGTTAAAGTGGCGGATATACTTGTGGCAATGCTATTTTTATTACACTGCTTCAAAGAGGGCTTGATCAGATACTGTCTAGCTACATGCCCTCAATTATAAAACCTATTTGCTATATATCAGGGCGATATTGTAACTAAGCATTTTGTAATGCAACTCTAAATCACAATAGGCTATTTTATATACAGCAAATATGTCTTTTTAGCAGTCATTCTCACAAGCTTTCTCAGCTGTCTTTTCTGTCTATCTGTAAGTTCATGGATTGTTGAATCCTGATTGTAGCGACAATCTCTGGAAAGATGTGCGTCTTCATGTACAGAAATATGTTTGTCTATACTGGGATAGGAATGACTTTGTAAGATTTTATGCTGTTTTCGTCTTTAAATGACTGTCTATACCTCTTCAGGTTTGATCTGTTAGCATTTTTATCGCTTAATCTTTTCCTTTGGAATGCATTTTTTTAAAGATACCCTGTCGTTTGTCCACCGTATTTTCCCCAAGTGCTGATCAATTCTTTCTCAGGTTCTGTCGCTCGTTTCTTTGTTTCTTTCTTTCCCCCATTTGCTTTTACTGAACGTGTTCTGACGCCATTAATCAATTTCTCAATAAGCAAACCCCTCAGGTTTGGGCTGTGCTCAGAATCAGATATCTTGCAATGTTTATTATCGTCATGGCGATTGTTGCCCGCCAAGTTAAAGGTTCTTTATTCATTTGTGTCATGATGCTGGTGATTGATGCCCACCAAGTTAAAGGTTCTCTTCATTTGTGTCATGATGCTGACGATTGTTGCCCACCAAGTTAAAGGTTCTTTATTAGTCCCTGTTCGGACGAAGTCCGAAAACGGGGACATATAATTCGGTCTCCGTCCGTTCGTCCATGTGTCCGTCCGTGCGTCAGTCTGTCCAGAGTCATATTTCAGAATCCCTTGGACCGATTTCGTTCATTCTTTCCATGTGCCTAGTACTTTATGTGGGACATATGCACATGCAGTAGTTTAGCGATTCGATTCAAAATGGCCGACTGGCAGCCATCTTGTTTTTTGAAAATGTTGTATTTTGGACATGCTTTGTCAGTTGTCATTCAAACTTGGTACATAGATTATACATGTTAGGATACATGTCCATGACGATTTATTTCACAATTGGATCAAAGATGGTCGACTGGCAGGCATCTTGTTTTTGTTTTTTTATGCGGTATCTTGGACGTGCTCTGTCAGTTTTCATTCAAATTTGGCACATACATGTACTTTATACATGTTAGGATGCATGTCCATGACAATTTGTTTCAAAATCTGGTCAAGGATGGCCGATTGACAG